TTGTTTTTTTTTGGGGGGGGGGGCGGTTGAAATTTTATAGATGGTGTTGTTTTGTAGACTCCAGTTTATGTTTCGTCTGTGGTGACTCAGGAAGCAGCAACACGTAAACCACATCAGGGCGCATGACGTTTGATGGGAAGAGTCTGAGAGTCGCTAGTTCGAGCCGTAGAGAAGGGAAGGAGGAGAGGCTGCTTGCTGGAGACGATCCCTCTATATATAGCTGCAGCCCGTCCTGGCCCGGGCTCTAACTGAACTGCCCCCGCGCCTCTAGGGCCTAACTAACTGTGTGGCCTTAGCCTAGCCCAGCCCCACCGCGGAGCTCAGGCCCTGTCAACATATCACCGCCCGCCTGCTATTATATTTATAGGCCTTGGGGACGGTAGTCCTCGGCGTGGCGGGGCGGGGTGGGGCGTGGCGTGGCGGTCACAGAGAGAAAGAGAGGGTAGTACCAGGAGGCTTGACACGAGCCGCCCGCCGTGGCGGCGGGGCGGGGCTGGGCGTGGTGGGGCGGTGGCAAAGGTAGCGACCCTCGCGCGACCATGTTGTGCGCTAAAAATACCCCCGTGTATCCTGACGCCCGCCCCGCCGCCCCCTAACCCTCACCCTCCCTCTCAATGTCGAATTGCCCTCACCTTCTAGATATGCTTCTTCTATAGGGTGGCCCATATACCCCATCACCTCTCGTGTGGTTCTACTGTGCCGCATATGAAAGTGTGCGCGGTCGGTCTTGCCTATCGTCGCTGGCGTGCCCGTGCGTCCCGCTCCGTGTTAAAGTTGGCCTGACACATGTTGATGTGCCCGGGCTGGGCTGGTCTCGCGGCCGGGGCGCGCCGTCGTCTTGACCTGCAGTAAGGCCCTGCCCTGCCCTCCCCGGGACCCCGGGGTGGTGGTGGTGTGCGGGGTGGTGGTGTGGTGCGGGTGGGTGGTGGAGCATGAGGCTGGTGCTGCAGCGACCCGCCGCCCGCCCGCCTGCTCGCCCAGCCCAGGCCAGCCCACCAGCCGGGCTGTACGGCTGTGAATCGATTGTGGGGGGCTGGGCTCGGCTGGGGCCTAGCTCCGCCACGCCCCACCACGCCGCGCCCTGCTGGGCCAGCGGGCCTTCACCCTATGGCGGGGGCGGGGGCCCCGGGGCCCCCTCTCGCTGGCGCTGGTAATGCTGGGCTCGGTGCAGAGCGGCTCGTCTGAGAAGGGGCGGCTGCGGAACGTGTCCGTGATTGCTTTCCTTCCGTTTCGCCCCCCCCTACCCCCCATCCTCCCCCTTTCGAACCACCACCTCTTGTTCGGCCGCACCACGCCTGGACGTGTGTCCACGGGGCCCATTAGCGCAATAGGCAACCAAGGTCCTGCCTGGCCCGGCCCTGCCCCTGCCCGCTGCCCGGCTGGCTGCCCGGCCCCGCCCCGCCACCAGGCCAATGTGCCAACAACTTCTTTCTTAGCACTCGCGCCGACGCCCGCCTCGGTCCGTCCCGTCTCGTCCCACCTCGTCTCGGGATGGGGCGGGAATGGAACATGATGTGATGGGGCAGGGCAGGGCAGGGCGGCGGGCTGCCGCTGCCGGTCGATGTGGGAGTGGTGAGACTGGGGCCCGGGCGCGGCGCGGCCCGGCCCGGCCCGGCCCCGAAGGTTTTGCCCTGATTTGCCGTGAATTGCTTTTAGGGGCGGAATGGAAGCCCGCTGGGGTTGGCGTCGGGAGGGAAGGAGAGAAGGCGAGGCTGCCGCCAGACGAGCCCTGCCCGGCCTCCCCTGCCCTGCCCTGCGGTTGCGCAACCGCTCCCTAGCCGCTTGGCGTCTGCACGCGTGTATACGCCACTGGCTCCACTGGCGGGTGTAGGGTAGGGTGGCAGTGGCGGGCAGTGGCGGTCCACGCCAAGGTCAGGCGGGATGACCGTAACCAAACCGGGGCCCCGCGCCGTGTGCGCTCGGGTAGGACGTCAGGACTTTCAGGACCACCGAGAGGACCAAAGGAGTGACCCCCCCACGAGCTGTGCAGCTGATGGAGATGAAACGAGAATGCGCGACCACTCCTCACCCTCTCAACTTTCCACATTTATTTTACAGATGTGCCATCAAACGAGCAGGAAGAGCTCTTTATCCGGAAGTTGCGGCAATGCTGCGTAGCGTTCGACTTCATGGACCCAGTGACGGACCTGAAGGGGAAGGAGATCAAGAGGAACACACTTAGCGAATTGGTTGACTACATCACCACAGGGCGAGGAGTGCTCACCGAGCCGGTCTACCCCGAAATCATAAAGATGGTAGGTAGTTGGACCGATCACTGTAACATTAAGCGTTGTTGAAGATTGTTTTCACAATTCACTTGTCTCTTGTTCATTTCCCTGGAAGATATCGGCCAATTTGTTCCGGACGTTGCCGCCCAGTGAAAATCCTGACTTTGACCCAGAAGAGGATGACCCAACACTAGAGGCCTCATGGCCACATCTCCAGGTATGGAAAAAGTCTAGTATTACTGTTCAGGTTTTAAATGATTTTAATTTAAGAGATACTAATTCCAACATTTATTTTTAGTTTGTCTATGAGTTTTTCTTGAGGTTCCTTGAGTCAACAGATTTCCAACCTGCTATTGGCAAGAAAGTCATTGATCAGAAATTTGTTCTTCAGGTGAGGCATTGTTATCAATTGAAAAAATTATAAGTAGTAGTCTGACAATAAATTTCTATATGCTAATGTATTTGCACCTTGCAGCTTTTGGATTTATTTGACAGTGAAGATCCCAGGGAAAGAGACTTCTTGAAAACTGTTTTGCACCGCATCTATGGAAAATTCCTTGGGCTGCGAGCTTTCATTCGCAAACAAATCAACAACATCTTTCTTAGGTATGAAAATCTGTTTCGATTTGTCGTTGGTGGCACAGTAATCCACATTCTTAACATAGAATTGACTCAATTGTAAATCCTTTCTCTCTCTCTCTCATTTTAGGTTTGTCTATGAAACAGAACATTTCAATGGGGTTGGAGAACTTCTTGAAATCTTGGGGAGGTAAGTCAATAACTTCATAAATTATTTCTTTTCAAAATTTAATTCTGCATTCGAACACTGAAACTTTACCTCTACCTCTTAATTTTATGTAACAATTTATTTTCTTTATTCCAGCATCATCAATGGGTTTGCATTGCCCTTGAAGGCAGAACATAAACAATTCCTTGTAAAGGTACTCATTCCCTTGCACAAGGTAAAGTGCCTTGGATTGTACCATGCACAGCTGGCCTACTGTGTGGTGCAGTTCTTGGAAAAGGATCCAACCCTTACAGAGCCTGTTATTCAGGGACTGCTCAAGTACTGGCCAAAGACCTGCAGCCAGAAAGAGGTGGGTGTGCTGTAAAATTATATTATTTCATGAGATGTTATGTTGTTTTTTTGACCAGTCCTATTATTATTAAATTTTTATATTTCAGGTTATGTTTTTGGGGGAAATTGAAGAAATTTTAGATGTCATCGAACCAACACAGTTTGTCAAAATCCAAGAGCCTCTTTTCAGGCAAATCTCAAGATGTGTTGCCAGTCACCATTTCCAGGCAAGTCTCATTTTAAAAGTCTTCTAAAACCATCCATCTTTCTTCATTGACATAGTATGACATTTAATTTGTTTGTTTGTTTGTATCTAGGTGGCAGAGAGAGCACTGTATTTCTGGAACAATGAATACATTATGTCACTTATTGAGGAAAACAATTCAGTTATTATGCCCATTGTCTTTCCTTCTCTTTATCGCATGAGCAAGGAGCACTGGAACCAGACCATTATTGCTCTTTTGTATAATGCGCTCAAGTCATTCATGGAGATGAACAGTAAGCTCTTTGATGAGCTGACTGCTGCTTATAAAGCTGAAAGACAAAGGTAATAAATTTTTTATCTTGATTGATTGTCTTTTTAACTAATAAATTGGTTTAAAAAACTGTATGTTCTTTATTTCGTGTACTGATTCTTTGATAAAAATATTTCCAGGGAAGTAAAACGGAAGAAGGAAAGAGAAGAGTTGTGGCAGAGACTGTCAGAGCTTGAGGTGAATAGCCAATCGAATAAAGAGCAACAGCTCAATAATAAAGAGCCACAGCTCATTTTCAAGTGATAAATGAGACACACGCAAGAGAGAAAAAGTCATACAAATTATTTGCTGTTATGTTGTGTGATTGTCGTGAAGTGCAAGGAGTGGAGTCCGGTGCTGAAAACTTGAAAAAGTACAACAATGAGCCTTTAGTGTACCTCCTACCCCTTTTCCTCAGGCCCGACATATGGCTGCTACCCCCAGCACTAACCTGCCCCGATCCACCTTGCCTACCCTCTCCCGCCCAGCCTGACGGACCCACCAGTGCATTGTGTCGGCTTGTTCATCGACCAAATTCCTTGTAACAATTAAACTTAGTGAATAATGTACATTGTTGATCTGCGTCATCTCAGTCAATAAAGTAACAAAATTGTTGTGTAAGTTAAGGTATCTACCTATCTAATATTTGGAAAATCTCTGAAAGACAGATGATTACATGCCTGTATATGTTTAAATAATGTGAAATGTAACTAGATGCTTGGGATGATTAGTAAGCCTTAATGATGTGGAGTTATCTCAAGTATTACACAAGAAATTGCAATCTTTTTTTAATCACTGAATTAGAGTAATACATATTTTAATGTCTGGTTGCTAATTGTAATAATGTGCAATGGCTACCTTCTGACCTCTATTACGTGTTCTGCCAATGTGGGGGAGGGGGGACTTTCTTAGACAATTTTGTGAAGGGTTTGAAAATAATGTAGAAAAGATTCTCTAGCCAGGGAATGTCAAATTTTGTGTTTCTTTGTATAAAAAATGTTAATAAATATGAAGTGTCAAAACATCTTTGAAACTCCATGAAATGTAGAGACAAGGGTATCTTGGGAAATCCTTCAACTGTTCTAGGCTTCTTAAAAATTTTGTTTCTAATGGTGTGACAAATTAAATATTAAAAGTTCTTTTAAATTTTAATGAGTCATCATTCTTTTGATAATTTCAAACTACTATGTTGCTAATATTCACTTCAATTGAAACAAATGAAGCCATATCAATTCTGCTCAGTGTTCTCAGGCGGAACAATTTGGGTTCTTCAGGGCCCTGTAACTCATATTTGTTTTCTAAATGGGGGGTCGGGGAACTATCTTGTACAAACTTAATTGTCTTAAGACTTTTAGCGCTCTCTGAGGCTAGTTGATTTTTTTTTGGTTTTTTAAAACTATTAATGCAAATTTTATTTATTGGAAAGAACTGTCATGTTACATGTAACATTGAAATTGAAATGTTTCTCCTTTTTAAAATTTAAGTTTTTAATGTATGTGATGTTTATGCATGTGTCATACCCTGCTCCCCCTGCACCTATGCCCCAAGAAATCAATCTGCTTGTCCTGAGTTATAGGGCTCTGACTTACTGCTCTCCTGAGAAGTCACTTCAGGCAATAGTCAGTCATTTTATTTCTATCTTTTCTTTCCAACCGAAAGGCTGACTTTTGGATGTCTTTGTTAGGGTATGTATATTTTTTTTTTAATGTCATAGTTTTGAAGAATATATCAATACAATAATATGTAAAAATGAACTCCGTTGTTAGTATTGATGCAAAGGCATCTTGTCAGTGTGTGTACTGAATAACATCCCATTGACCTCTGTACGTATCCAGGAACAACAGATGTTCATCAAGTACCATACTTTCAAATACCTGCTGTTGGAGAGGTCTTCCTGACTTACATTTTCAACCCAAGGGGTTTTACGTATGAGACAAAATGTTTTTGGCTTGATGAGATATTGCGCTTATTTTACAAGTGAATGTGTGCATATTTTCTGAATATGTATAATTGGTTGTCAAAATCAAGAGGTCTATGTTGTATGAGAATGGGGGTCGCAGTTTTCAGAATGTGCTGAGATGTGGACATAAGCCCCTGTAGCAAGTGCTTTACAAGGCTTACCATTATACACCTTGTAGAGCACACCTATTTGGCAGCATTCAGTTCTTAAGGCCTTTGCCTTTGCTGGATGTTGCATACCTAGTGAACTTCAGAGACTTTTTCCATATTGCCACCATTGTCATTATGTAATTCGGAGAGAATTATAAAGCATTGTTTAGGGTTTTGAACTTTTGATTTTCTGCTCTATCCTAAGTCACCACCATTTCAACTGTGCAATCTACTGAAAGGAAATATTAATTTTTAAAGAGACTTGTTGAATAAATTTAATGAAATTAAAAGCATAACATGGTGGTCAGAGGAAACAATATTAATCAAGACGAGTACATACATGGGGTTATCACCATCAGTAAAGATTTAGCTTAGTAACAATTAGTACTCTAAATGCCTGGTCAAATGAAGTACAGACTGCCAAACCTTGCTTGTCAGGGCTCCAGTCAAAACCACAGATTGGTTGTGATGATAAAGTTGCATTCTGAAGCAATGTTAAATTACCAGCAACACCAGCCTCTTCTCCATCGATCATTTTTGTCCTCTTCTCTGGGTAGTTGCTGGAAAGAAGAGGAAAATCAACATACTATTCGTAATGACAAATTCATAATAATCATTTGACTTGATGAGACACAAGATTCTCAATATATAAACTTAAGTTCATACTGGAAAAACAATCACACTTACTATTTCCATAAACAAAGAGAACCAGAACCACCACCTGTCATGAAAATTTCTCTATTTTGTGGCAAGTGCCGAGTGAGCCATACAGTTGATTTGTGCCTAGAATAACATCGAAACAAGGAAAATTGATTAAGTTCACCATAAAAATAAAATTTTAGAAAAAAAAATCAGAATTCTACCTTTTCTGATATATGAGGAAACCCTTCTTTAGAGTGCTGTGTTCGAAGATAAAACACATGAACTTTAGATTCTAGAGTGGTTGCCACAAGCTTGTTCATCTTGATATCTCTTCTATCAAATTCAAGACCACAAATCTGTTGAGTTAATACCACTGGTTAGTTTAAGCTCAATGATGAACAAGTATATTTCTAGAGAGGGGGGGGGGGGTGTACTTACTCCATTTTTAATGTTAGTTTCCCATCTTAAACTCATGTTTTTTAAATCAAACATTTTAATATCTCCATTGTCATAGCCAGCACACACTACTCGTTCTTCTGAATTATAAGAGTTACCTGTGGCTCAAAACAATATAGTTACTTTCAGTAAGCTCAAGAAGCCACTCCAATTGTGATATCTAAATGGCTGAATTTCATTACCAAAACCAACTGCCCAACAGTCACGTTTACTCTCTCCTTCTTCTGGCTCCATTACAGCTACAGGCTTGTCTCTTTGTCTCGGATCCCAAACCTTTACTGACCCTATAAATAGTAAAATAATTCATGAGCACACTTTTAATACTGTCTTAAACATTGTAATTTTTAGTGCATCATTAATTTTACCATCTCGACTTCCAGTGACTATTTCTGGGGCACCACAACCTGTACTTAATCCACCAACACCATCAATACAATTTATAATTTCTTTGTGAGCGTTATTGAAGGAACATGCAGGATTCTCAGGCTTCTCAAAGTCCCTAGGAGAAAAGTAATATGTGAATGACAACTGTATCTCTCTGTAGCAGATCAATCAGGAAAAAAAACACAAACCATAGGTTTAATCTGCCATCAAAATCACCAGTTGCTAAGAGTCTATTTGAAAGTTTTGAACCTCCAAAGGTACAGCATTTGAAAGCTTTCTCCCTTTTAATCTATTAAACAAATTTTCAAAACACTCATTATAATGGCAAATGCACAAGACTGAAAGAACTATAATTAAAGAAAGCAAATAGGAAATATTTTAACAACACATTTACCTCTTTGATCATTTTCACAGACCCTCCAGATATTTCATATAGTTGAATAACCCCACTTGAATTCGGCATGGAACCCAAAACGACGAACTTTGCGGAGCATGGCATCCACCGACAGTCAAACAAAGAGTAGTCAACTGACTTCTCGATGTGGGCTATAATCTGGGGCTTGTCCATTTTCAGAGGCTGTTCTAGGACACTGAAGCAAATGCACCAAAACCGTCTAAATGTTGGAGAATAACGTCTGCCACTATTTGTTTGTTTGTTTACTCGGTTGCTACACTGTATGAAAAACTTTCAACTCAATACACTATATGGCAAATTTACGTATGGATCCTAGAAGAGTGAGAGAGGGAGAGGGAGAGGTTGAGGGGAAAGGAGGAGAGAACGAACAACAGAGATGGCGACTGACTGGAAGACAGTGGCACTTACGTGCGGCCTGATTTGTTTGTGTTTTGTGGCAGTACCTATTCGTTTCAACAAACCTACTAGCCAGAATAGTCTTTCCTTATTTCAATCATACCTTCACCGATTCAACAAGACCTACAATGCTACTGAATTTGGAGACAGATTTGCCAAGTTCCAGGTACTGTTCCTGTGTTATGTAACAAGCTCAGCCATCAGCATGTTTCTGGATACTTGAGTAAAAAAAAAAAATCTCTGGAAGACAAATGGTATTTTTGATTTCTTTCACCCAGGAAACTTTAAAGTTCATTGATGAATTGAACAGCAATCGACCTTTTAACGACAGTGCACGATACGGTCTGACTGAATTTTCAGACATGTCAAGAGATGAGTTTCTTGATCGTAAACTGCAGAAACATCTTCATAAGAGACTGCATCGTCAAAGATCACATCACAGCAAAACCAAAGTTGATGGTACTGCACTAAATCACATTAAAAAGCGATCAGTTGATGGTTTACCTGACCTAGTTGACTGGTAAGAAAAATAAATCTTTGGGTCCTTTGTTTTTGTATTTATGATTTTTTCACTAAGTATTTTTACAGGCGTACAAAAGGTGTTGTGGGTGCAGTTCGTAATCAAAAGACCTGTGGAGCTTGCTGGGCATTTAGTACAGTTGAAACTGTTGAATCAATGGCAGCAATGAAAACTGGTTCGGTACAGGTCCTCAGCGTGCAAGAAGTATGTGTTTTGAGGTTTAATTGCAAATATTAATTTTCCGTCTTGGTTATGCACAAGATGTTGGTGATGAAACTGTACCAACAAGTAATTCTTGAAAAAAATCTTTTGTTTTTCTTATCATTTAGATTATTGACTGTGCAGGAAATGGCAATCTTGGATGCAATGGTGGTGACACTTGCAGTCTGCTTGATTGGCTAGTGTTTAATGAGATAGCCATTGCACCAGAGAAACAGTACCCACTTAATTGGAAAACAAATGTGTGCAAATTAAAGGGGTAAGGAATTAAATTCAATGCTAATTAAAAATATTTACACATACCTTTCAAAGTTTCTAACAAGTGAATTTTCTTTATATAGACCCCAGGAGGGTGTAAAAGTTGCTTCAAACTATACATGCAGCTAGTAAGATATTTTTTTTTACTGTGTCCAATAATTGTATTTGCTTTCCTATATGTGTTTTTCTAATTTTTGCTTTTTTAGCCTTGTAGGTCGTGAAGATGCTATCGTCGCATTAATTGCAAATCACGGACCCATTGTTGTTGCTGTAAATGCCCTTACCTGGCAGCATTACCTTGGTGGAGTTGTTCAGTTTCATTGTGATGGTGCTCCTGAACACATCAACCATGCTGTTCAAATTGTTGGCTATGACCGTACTGCTGCTATTCCACACTATATTGTGCGCAACTCATGGGGCACAGCATTTGGCGACAACGGCTACTTGTACCTTGCTATGGGAAACAATATGTGTGGTATGTATTGTGCTATTTCTGCCTCTACTTCATTGGAAGTAAACTTTTGTTACTATTATTTTAATTTGAAATATGTGTTTTTCTAGGTGTTGGGACTGAGGTCGCATCATTAGATGTTATTCTTTGAAAATTGGGTAGAAATGTTAAAAGTGGTGATAATGCTTAGTGTTTTGGTCTGTTGTCTGCCAGTATTATTTTTATTTTTCATGTGCCATGACAGATTATAGAACTTCTGTAACTGCTCTAACACAGCTCACAAGATACTGCAATTGTAATACTCCTCCACTGCTCACTGAAAAGATCTCTTTGATGAAAATTGGTTTGATATTATCATAAGATATGTTTATTCTGAGCAGGATATTGTTTTTGTGGTAATTCCACTGCACTTACGTTACTAACGCTAGTTCTTCTCAGGCCTTGGGCATCTTTTCTGCTATGGAATAGCCCTTTTCTCACAACTACTTCGTTTTCCTCATTCCAAGCAAGTGATAACTATGTTATCATATTTTTCAAATGTCATATCAGTTTGCAGAGTTATGCAAGACTTCAAAATAGAATATTATAGTTTTTTATCTATCAGTGTTCCATGTCCTATTTGTTGAGTGTGGCCTTCTTGAGATTTTTCTTGTCTGGTATTAAACTAACAATCTCATTCCAAGTACAACAATCTTTTTCAGTTTTATGTGACGTTTCAGTTATTTGTTTGTCATTTTAAAATTTTATATTAGGGTAAATGATGTAAGGATTTGCCTGGGAAACAGTGTATTTTGCGTTATGTACTTACACATCAACTATTGTTCAAATAGTAGTATTTATATTTTGTTGTAAAAAGTTGTGCCATACAATTTTTAAATGAAATTTGATATTGATGAGCCGAACCACTTTCATAGTTGATTATATAACCTTCTCTGTGATGCTTTCCCTCTGTGATGTTTGTGTGCCATTAGTTGTTCGACTTAGAAATAGTGGACCAGATTTGTTGATATGATAATGCTATTTGCTGCCTTATGGACCAATATTGAAAATAAAATGATTGTCTATCTCACAATAGAATATTGTTATAATTTGCCTATTTAACACCTTACAAGTCTGCTCTTGTGGTGGGCGACCCCCCGGGGCCAAGAGTCCTTTCAAAGAGTCTCAGATAAAAGTGCGGAGGACTGATTGGTGCACTGATAGCAGCGCCTCGCGGGCGCGCCCCGATGCCATGTCAGTCTCTTGTCGAGCATCGCTCCGATCACCTCGCCCAGGTATGCCACGAGGACGCGTCACCGCGTCACCTTAGCCACCAGAACGGTCTCCTCGCACAGCGCGCACCCCTCCTCTAGGCGACGTCCTCGTCGTTGCGTTACGTGTAGACTGACCAGTAGGCGGGGGCGATGACAGCCGTTGGGGAAGTCCAGCGGAGCACGCTTCAAACGGCCGTCTTCGCGGAGTAAACGTGAAGGCGCGGGGAATCGCTGGTTCCTTGAATGCGCCTGTGTGAACTCTATTTTCCCCCGCTGTCCATTGCAGGGGCGGGATGGTCTGAGGTCCGGCTGGCAGAGGGGTCGATATGCACCATGGGTTGCCTACATACATGGGGTTTGTTAATAACAGTTGTCTTGGGGTCTAGAGACAACGGGGGGGGGGGGGGCACCCCTTAGTTAGCCACCCTTGTATACCGCGCCCGGTCCGTCG